AGTCACGGTAATTTCTTTTGTCCCAACTCCTATAGATGTACTCTCAAAAAATGACAATTGTGCTTTTACTCTTTTCATTGATCGGCAACACAATTGCGTCGCTGCCTAACGCGTTACAAAATATCAATGGCGGGATTATTTTGGTCTCGAATTTCGTAACTAATTGGTTGCAGTAAACAAAGAGGCTCAGAATGCCGGCCCAGTGAATATTTATGCCTTTTAACCCTTTTTGGGCAATTAAGGTATTCTTCGGAAACATTTACTGTTGTTGTTCTTTTTCTGAATATGTAAGCCTTCTTGTAAGTAGATACGTCTGTTGTTTTAAAGTCTTTATTATTTTTATGTAACTAATTTGACAAACAAAGACAGTCCGCCTAATGGTCAGCCAGTGTGTCAACTTGCGCGATGCAAATTAATTACTAGACGTTTGTAGACGACGACGTCTGACTTGCGACCGAGTGGCTATGGCTTCGAACTCCACGCAGTGCACTACCGATGCATACCTATTACCTAAACAAGCATTTTGCTTTTTTAAGCATGTAAATAAATACCAGAAATAGATGACGTAAATTATTATTTATAACCTTAGACACCTTGGTATGCAAAACACTTGTAACGCGAAAATTTGTTCCCTGTGTAAAATACAGACATTAGAATAAGCAACCTGTACTAGATTTTAAAAAAGTCCTTTCCTTCTTTCCACTTACATTTCCCTAGCAGTCTACCATTTCATTTATTCCGCTCAGCCTTCCATTATTCACGATCTACTCATGATATTTCTATAGAGTATTCACCCCACAAAACTAGACTTTAATTATTCACTATCCAAGTACATTACTGATTCGATTATACTATACTAATGTCTAAACGTGTAGGTACGAATCCTTTACTTTTCAAGGTGAAACGATCATTGTCTAGCGACGCCTTTAAGTGGTCTAGTCTACTGTCTTACTAGGCCGAACCTACGTATAGACGTATAAGACGTCACTTGAGTTCAACGAACTCGTGAAAATGTTGGAAATCTTTAGCATTAGATTAGGTATTTGAACAGGGTTTTGAAGACGAGGTGTGTGAACATTTAATTGGGGACTTATACTCGCAGAAATTGACACGCCGTTTTAGTCAAATTGTTTAAATTGAGTTCTAAGTTCAGATTAAAGACAAGACGAAACAGTTCGGTACTTTTTTAGTTGTATTTAGCTGTTGACTAGGTTTATCGTTAATTATATGTTAATAAATTACGATCTCTGGGGATTTATACAAATATCTGTATGGGAAGAATTTAAAATGAAAACTTTTAGTTAAGTGTCAGTAATATCAAACAAGAATTTAAAAGATTATTAACATACGTCATCATTTTATTAGAAAACTTTCATATAGATATAAAAATAAAACTACTTTTTGTCTCACAAGTTTACTTCACATGCATTACTTACTGTGTAGTAGGTTATTGCGTCAAATGTGTACGCAGCCTAAGTAACGTGGGTGGTCATTACACAAGTTAGCGCACATCGACGGCAACAGCCGAAGCGGCGCAACTTCCGCGCTGTAACCGTGTGGCGGTACTACAACCCACCACTAACCGTGTTAGTTTAGCCTATTAATAAGCCAACGTGTTTCATCACAAGATTTAAAACTGATTACTACTTTATGAGTGATATGTGCCTGTTTAGGTGACAATGCTTTAATTTACAAGACGTGTTCTATTTAGAACTAACAAGACTACTACTCTACTAAGAAGTCAAAAATTCTAATGCGTTCCTCAAAGTAAGTGGATAAACCGTTGTAATTTTGCCGTACCTTTGTGGAAGGAATGCATTTACTGTGTGAATATATCACATAAAATATCTGTACCCTTCTAGCAGTCCTTCTCTCTCAGTAGAGACACTGCTACTTTGAGCTTGTAATGAACTCAATTATTGTTCATTGGTGGTGCTCTTGTAACTAGAAAACCAGTAATCTGTTTCACATGATTCTTTAAGTGAAATGTAAGCTTTCATTGAAAGATAATATATGTATTTAGTTATCAGTCTTTTCAACAATTACTATACCAAATCTTTAACATGTCAAAATTTAATAATGAAAACAAAGAAAATCTCGTATAAACACAAAAAAATCCATTCCACCTCGTCAGCATACCGTGCACTCTAGAAAATTAATGCGTATGATTTTTTCTACAAACTCACGCAGAGGTCGTCTACTCGCTTAGAACGCAACGGCCTATTTAATTGTTCGTTTCCAAGCCGACCGCATAGGCCTCAGCTTCGTCATCTGTCTGGCACCGACAAGTCACCGCTACCCCGCGGGTCGCTGACCCTGAAGGACTGTGGGTCGCACGGTCCTGTCCTACGTCACTCGGCTCAAGGTAGAACAAAATTGTGTTCAAACCTACAAAAATACGATACATCGATTACATCGTTGGTCATTTTAATGTTGACAGTAATTTTCTTTAAATATCGATATTTCTTGAATGATATACGATTGATGGGATCACTTGATGTAATTGTCAAATCGAACAAACTTTGCGTCGAAATTGAAAAACTTTGAATCTCTCTTTGATGTTTTGTAATATATTAAGAATGATGTATTTATAAAGTGTTTTTGTAACGTGGTTTTAATGTTGTTACGTAACAGATTATTTATTGATAATTGAATGAAAGCATAGCGTGTAATTGATCTTTAAGTTATTTAAACAAATTAAAAGACAGCTCTGTGTACAGTGTATACAGTCTCTAAAAATTAATCGTAAGTCTCGGGGTTTCTTCTTTGTATCTATACGAGATACAAGGATGAAAACTAGATAACAAATTACTTTTTTATGTATAAATGTATTTTAGGTAATTTTTTGAAACGTGTGAAACTTTTGTATTATTCCCTCCCACGTAATGTTTAATTGTATATTAGTATAATATGTGAAAAATATTAAATATATATATATATAACATGTAATTTTAGATAACATTAAACATGTAATTTTAGACGCTCTTGTACATACTACTACTACACACTACTTTAACAACACGAATTACTGAAAGTGCCTTTTCCCTGATAATTACAAGAAGTAAATATCTACTTATAATGATTCAACTTCACTTCCAATATTTGTAGAGCTCCTTGAGAACCGTGAGTAATTTTATGTTTGCACTAAACATAATTATGTGCACCTTGGAGTTCAAAGCACTTTTATAGGTTGTTTAAAGTCGACAAGGTATCGGCCGGCACCAAACCCGTGAGTAGTCACCGCTTGGTGTTTACATTTCTGTACGCCTATGTAAACAACCGCTCTCGGGAACAGTGTTGCACTTACAAACATACTGTATATGTTACAGTTAAACTGTCTAATGCGGATATCTACACTATTTCAGATGTATACGGAAAAAAACAAGGGTAATAAATTTGGGAATGACGCATCGTCTCCTTCGACGGATATAGATTTGAATATCGAATTTTATTTTAGTACTTTTTTTGCGATGACGTAGATTGAACGGACAAAGAATTACGTAGGCTTGTACCGGTTCTTCAACTTTAGTTCGGTTTTTTAGAAGTAAGGTCACCTTGCGCGTCCAGTTGTTGCGTGCATATCAAACAGACACTGTTTTACTATATTACAACATAGAGCAGGAAGTGTGTACCTTAATTATTATGTCAATAGAGCTGCTTCGTATATTAGGTTTCCTGTCTGACTGCCCGTTAGCTCACAAATATTTGGAGAACTAGTCGATTTATATTATTTTTAAACTTGTGCAGCTTCTAACAGTAGCTCACCTTAAGGCTATAATAAGACTTAAGATAAAAAATATTTTTAATATTTACCTTAAAAAAGCACTTTGTTTCGTTTTTTGTACGATTGGCGTTCGCTTAAGTAAAGTTAGACAGCGAGCGGGGCGAGATGACGTAGCGTGTGCGAGTAAATATACATACTAACCTTGAGCCCGAGAACTGAGTACGATAATATCTGTATTAAATCATTTTACAGTATTGTAAACTCATGTGCACACGCCTTATCGCTTTTCTCGCTGTCTGTCGTAACCATTACAACGTTTGAGACGACGGGAAGGACATTAGAATGTAGAATTACGGTAAATTAATAGTAGTAATAGTGATGAACATATGTGTAGTGCATTATGCACCTTTTTTCTATTAGGAGTAATGCGTGGGAATGACTGCGACACGTACAGAACATTAATTATGTATAGGGTTATTTGTGAGCCTTGTCGCGGCTAATGAATACTCATTGCGGATTCCGGCACACAATTTGAACCAACCACACGACCCTAGACACAAACACATAAAATAAGGACCGTACTTAGGTTTAATATCAGCAAATATACATAAGGATCAGGAAGCGTGGGGGAAAAACGGATATATACTAATAAATATATTTTTTAAAGGATTAATATCTCCTATATGCTAAAGACAATATGCCATTCCAGCCAGACTCCTATATGCTACAATATAAAGACATTTGTATTACGGTGTTACATAATACGGATTTAGCCTGCTCTTGGAATCAACGTTGTATTCCAAGAGCAGGCTAAATCCGTATTATGTAACACCGTAATACAAATGTCTTTATATTGTGTGGAGATAAAAATCCGCCTTAAATTAGGAGTTGACACTATAATTAAAGTATATTCTGCTTCTTATCGGTCTGTGTGCCATCGCCTTCATTCAATTACTGACACACAGTCACCAAGCTCCTTAGTTCGCGAATCTAAAATAACACATGTAACGGATCACTTAACTCATTATTAGGCTTAGCTTTGCGTTGAAACATTATTCGCATAATATTCTGGAATTATTGTAGTCAGTTCACATTTAAATGTAATTTTTATCATCTAATAATGAAATAGCTAGACCCTTAGTAATGATTACGTTTCTGAATTTTGGTGTTAGATGTATGTGGTGGTTGATATTCACATCTAGAGACAATTTACATAATTGGGTCTTTTTCAAATGTTTATAGATTTTTTTTAACGTGTTTCTTTGAATTGTTGCAGGTTTAGACAACCGGATATCGAACTCAAGAAGTTCAGTTTCGCCGTAAGTTTCTTTTTTTACTTGGCTTAGTAATAAATTTCAAAATTAGACAAGTAAATATTTATTAGTTCGGCAAACATACTTGTCACACAACTTTTCGAGATGACAATAGAAATACCTCTAAATTTTCAGCAAGTTTATTCAACGATTAGGAAAATTGTGAGATTTGTGGCGTGTGTGCTGCTGTTGTTGCTGTCATGTCAATGAATCAATAAGTTGACCTTTATTTGATAGAAAGCCTATATAAATATAATTTGTTAACATATAAAACACTGCTATTTTTTTCTATTTATCAATAACACAGCAGCAACGATAGAGCTTGAAAACATTTATTATTTAAAGTAGTAAACATACTTAAATTTATTTAATACTTCTAGGAAGGAAAATAAACACAAGCAGCATATTAAGCTGTTACCGGTACATACAAATATATTCTGAGCTACGTAGCCAATCTCATCCCCTTCATGAAGTAGTCGTGGCGACGAAAATATTAGTATTCTTCAGCAATAGCGTTACTGCGTGCAGCTACCTTAGCTTTAGTTAATGATCCGCCTTTAAATTGGAAAATTATTTTCAAATTTTTTATTTTTCAGTTCCTGTGATGTGAACAAAGACCTCGGGTTATCGGAAAGCGATGAGGAAGTCGCCAACACGCATGCGATAGGACCGTAAGTGTTCTTGTATTACGAAAATTACTGTCTTCTCCAACCTATAAATATTATTTTAAAACCATAAAGGTTAAATATATAGTTATCGCAGGTCTTAGCTGTATATTTCATGTTATATCAAGACTGAGCCTCGCTGTTACTTGTACTCGTAGTCGTAACAAATATAAATAACAGAATAATTGATATACGTAAAAAAAGAATTTATTATTTCATAATAAGCCATTTAAAGGGTTTAAATGATTTATTAGACACTGTTTACACTTATTTGGTGTTCGTAAGTTATTATTTTTACAACTTTTATCTCTAAATGGTTAGACTATCAGACTGTTATATTGTACCTACTGATAAAAATCAGGTTCACGGCCTCTGATATTTGCAATACTTAATCCTTTTAACATGAATAAGTTACAATTTGAATTATGGTTATAATTAATTTCAGGAGGCAGGCTCTTCTTGACTGTATTTCGTTTTAAATTATTGCCTCTCAAGCTTGGGTTTCAATGACTTTTAAATAACGATTTACAGATTCTTTGTTTAATACTTGATTGAATATCGAACATCATATTATCACTATTTTAAAGATAATGCAATAAATATTTTTATTGAAAACTGAATCATAGGCAATACAAATACGTTACCAATTATAGGCCTATCTCTCCGCTCGGATCTGGCAGTCCTAGCTCAGGCAGTTCTTCTCCATCCGAGGATTCCGAAAGTGAATCTTCGTCGGCGGAATCCACAACACCGGCGCCAGCTCCGGCGGCGCCAGCCCCTACGCCCGCGCCCCCTCCTACGCAGCGTTCTTCGTGGTCTCTGTCAAACTTCGCACCGCCTCCAGCTCACCCGCCAGAGACTTATGATTCGGGAAAGGAACTCAGACATGCCCTCGCCGACATCAAAGGGAAGCCGGTGAGTTGTATTAACATTACATTAAAGTATTCGTGCTACGTGACAAACTGATATTAGTAGTCTGTTTCGTGTAGCATGACGCTTTTACTTGTGTAGAATGGCGCAACTCGGTTCGTGAGAGTACTAGTGGTCACATAGTAACAGCGTGTATTGGAAGGGAAGGGAAGTTGCTACGAAAATATAATGCAACAAACGTTATTGCCACCAAATATTAATTGCTGGTAGCTTCTTCATTTCATACAGTAATGTTTTTGTAATATAAATACAAATATAATACTAGCTAAATAATGTATGACGTACAATGATGTTACCTTATTCAGTTTCCTATGCAACAACTATATTTAAACAGACGAACCTTTCCCAGGTGTCGAATTGCAAAAGATAAACATTTCTCCTTAGAAATCTTAGTAAGCATTCGTTACAAAATAAAACGTCAACAATAAGCTTATATTGTGATTCTGAGATCGCTAAAAGTACAACCCATTCGTGTTTAGAGTTAAGAACACATTGTAACTCTATCCCTTTGAGAAATGGAGGTGTACTCTTATAGGTGCTTGAAGAATATATCATCAAGCTTATATTCTTTAAGAATACAAGATTAATTTATGTTATTTTGTTGTGTCATAGAAAATTCTTAGTTTGAGAAAGTTTGTGAATAATTCTCGCTCATATGGAGGCGTATTTCGACCTGTTCAACAACTGGGTTCATGATATAATGTACACACGCCACGATGACGTGAAACAAAAATGGATAAAACTTGCTATTTTGAAGTGCAATATCCGTTATGGCCTTCTGAGTTTTGAAAATAATTTCATGTGTCATGTCGCTCCAGAGAAGAGGTTAAGTGTTTGGTACAAATATCTCAAGATGAAGGATGTGCTGTGGCAATCCGTGGGCGCTTTACACGGGTATATTGCAACCGCGTCAGTGTCGAATTTCTGTCTGGTTAGAGTTTTTGTTCCAATATGAATACAATTCTTATAAAAAGAAAATAATAATTTGAATTTAAGAGATAGGTACAAGCTTTTTTTATTAGTTGAAAGTAACATTGGAGTGAATAGCAAACAGGTCAAGTCTCATTCAATGTTTCTATTATAAGTTGGTTCACAATTGGAACTGACGAGAGTGTTTTTTTATTTAATTTTTATCTTACCTTGTAGCGTCATACTTACTAGCTATTTGTAAGTAACCGTGACTTATTTGTTTCTTTTTTTTTAACAGCAAAGTCCGATATCGGAGATGTCGGACTCGGAGACGTCGTCTCCGTCGCCAGGCGTGGTCAGACGACGGAAGTCCATACCAAACCGAGTGTCTACAGCTTCTAGCGACGAGGAAACGTCTAGACATTCCGTAAGTAATTTAATTCGGTTCGGATCAGATATATACCCTTTAGGATCCTTTTTCTTAATTAACGTTTATGCCCACTATATAAAATTACTAACAAAATAAACTTTGCTTCTGTAACATCTTGGGTAGATGAACTCTGACAGTTGATATTGAACACAAATCCGACCATTACTGTTGTTCGTTGTTTTATTAATAATTTTACAAGGGGTTTAATTTTCATGTATTCCTTGTAGTCTACGGCCACATCCCAACCTTCGGCGCCTTTGAAGCGTGGTCGGCCGCCCAAAGTGCGTCCTTCAGAGGAACGTCCCCCTAAGAAGCGCCGTGGCCGCCCTCCCAAGACGCGGCCTCCTACCCCGCCCCCCGCCACGCAGCACCTGCCGCCTCCTGATCCACCCGCAGACAGTGACGTGGAACCTGACCCTCCACAACACCAATCGCTTCAAGACAACAAGACGCATATCTTTCGCAGGGTCAGTATCAAAATAACACATATAAACATATGCATGGAATATCGTCTAGTAATATCATAAATACTTAATTAATGTAAACCAAACAGATAGATTCAGCAGCCAACTCAGTAAGTAATCTCATTCTATTCATTTCAGGTTTTCACACCCAAGGCAAAAAGTGATGAGGGTGGTGGCAAAGGTGGTAAGGGAGGGAAAGGTAAGGGAGGAAAAGGCAAGGGCCAGGTGACAATAATTGAGAGAACACCTGAATCCGGCGCCGATGAAGAATCTAGACGACATCGCTCTCGGTCTGTTGAGCGAAGGAATGAAGAAGCTTTGGCTAGGGTATCACCGCCACAGGAAGTCGAACGGAGAATGGAAAGGCCAGAGCGGCGTCGCGATATAGAAAGACACGACCGACCTTCTGCCGAAAGGATCTCCAACGATAGAGTACCTTCAGACAGGATACCTGAGCGAACGCCTAGCGATCGATTTCCTAATCGGTTATCTGAAAGAAGTTCCCATGAACGGATACCTTCTGATCGGATAACGATGGAACGCACCTCAAATGATCGGATACCGATAGAACGTACCTCCAACGATCGGATACCGGATCGACTCACCGTCGACAGGATATCTTTAGATCGGACGTCAACGGATCGGACAGTGTCAGACCGTTCGTCGTCAGCTAGCGATCGGCGGTCGGTCGATAGACTATCGGGCGGGCTCTCCGATCGCCTCGTCGATCGACCTCCCTCGGAACGGTTACTGGGCGACAAAATGGAGCGGTTAACGGTGCCCCACGAGCGGTTATCGGGAGAGAGAACGTCAAACGAGAGGATAGCGAGCGAAAAGGTTACGCACGATCGCCATTCTGACGCAAAAGCTCGGTTGCTGGACAACAAAATGTCGATAGACAGATTGGCGGAGAGCAAGGTTTCGATCGACAGGTCGGTCGAAACCAAAACCGAAAAGGCCGCGGGAGAGAAACCCGAACGGACGTACGTCAGAGCCGAGGCCGACGTCGGTTCCGGAATCAAGTCCGGTCGAGGTTCCGAGAGGCTAGAGGAGGCATCCTCTAACGGTGAGCGAAATAGTCACTTTTAAATGTCACCGTCGCGGTCTTCGAATCGAATTCGATCGAAGATCGTCAGCAGTGACGGTAAGGTAACCGGGTGTGTTGTGTGCGCAGTGTCGGAGCGCCGACGCCAGCGCCTGGTGGTGCGCGTGCCGCTGTCGCGCCTGCGCGCCGCCACGCTGCGCTCGCTGCAGCGCCCGCGCCGCGCCGCGCCCAAGCGGACCCCCACGCCGCACACCGACCAGGTAATGAGTTCCTCCGTTCTTCTCCGGGATTCTCGATATGACTTCCATAACTTAACTATTCTAGGCTTCAAAAATATTTATCTTTTAATATCAATTCTTTATGTATGTGAATACATGTATCTGCAGAGCGGAGAGGTGGCAGCGACGAACCACGAGCGGACGGACACGTACACGGGACAGACACCCATCTACTTCTCATACTTCGAACGCTTGCCCGCCGACGCCCTTTCAGACGAAGAGAGGGACCACAAGTACGTATCTATTTAGATACGTAGGTGAAATCACGATACTTCCATTAATAAAATTATAAAGACTCGTTGTGTAAAAAATCAATCTTATTAAATTTTACTTGTCGATCGCTCATAAAATATAAGTATGTGTTTCCCGTTGCAGATATTACCTAGAAGAAGCGACCCGACTCCGTTCCGCGGCGGAGCGGTCCCAGGAGCCGCTACCGCGCGTGATGCTGTACCTGGAGTCGGTGCTGTGCTTCGTACTCACGGGCCGCGTGCTCGAGCTCGAGCTCGACACCAAGGGCGCCTTCACCATCTACCGTGAGACCATCGAGTACATTAAGTCCATACACTCCATGCCGCAGAGGTTTAGGGCCTCGCCGCACGACACCTTCAACAAACTGGACATCTTGAGGTTAGCATCTGCATTGTGTTTTTTTTTGTAATATATCTACAAGTAGCCAAGCACTTCTTACTTTTTAAATACTTTACTCGCGACAGTAGTTCCGATGAAATTGGAGGTCACAAACTGGCCAAAAATATTTTTTATTCCAAATTGCATTTGCAAAATTTAATCTTCTAAACTTCTGATCCTTTAAAAAAGCCACATCATATAAAAAAAAGTACCCAGTGATTTTACCCACAATATTAAAGTTTATTTTAAGATCTAAATCTAAACTTGTCTGCATTTAAATTTAAAACTGTTTTCTTCTCATTTACATATATATTCACTAAATCAGTACTTGTCATCTACATTGTTAGAAAGATATTATATATATAGTATACTAATTGCAGCCTACGAGTCCAAGCGCTGCTGTACCTGCGCATGTTCAAGATGTACAACCGCGAGGTGAAGGAGTACAACAAGATAGTCAACGAGTACCAACAGAAGGTGCGTGCCGATGTCTGTATCCGCTCACTATATACTTTATCACTAACCGCCTCAGCACACAGTACATAACGTATCGATCATACACTTGTTCAGCACTCAAATAAGTTACAATTAAATTGAGTACAGTTTTTTTTAGTAATCCATATGATTTTAAAATAAAATTAAGTTTCATGTTATAGGAATAGCAATTAAATTGATTAGAGTAAAAAATGGTTGATCTTATGAAATGTATGATTTGATGACATAGTAACTTTGGAAGATAGACTTTGCTGGCGAAATGTTGGGATATATGTATTTCAGTGTTCTACCCTCGTCTTGCATGTATCATATATGCACGGTATTATGGGCGGCGGTTGTCGCTTTCCATCAGGTGATCTGTCTTCTCGTTTGTCCCCTTTTCCTAAAAAAAAGACTGACGTCCATTTCGTATGACATGTCCACTAAAATCTGTTGATAATTTTTAGATTGACATACTATTAAAGCGCCATTTCCTCATTTTATACAAATAATAAAAGCACGGGTCCCGGGAGAAATAGAAATATAACATATGAACATTTGTTCAATAACACGGTGTATTGCAGCCGGCGCTGGCGGAGTCGGTGTCGCCGCTGTCGCCGACGCCGTCTCCGGCGGGGTCCGTGGGGTCGGTGGGGTCGGGCTCGGCCTCGTCGGGCTACTGCTCGCTGGCGCACTCCGTGCCCGCGCACGCGCACCAGGCGCTGCTGCTGCTCAACAAGTACTACGCCTTCCTCTACGTCGCGCACGACCTGTGGGAGCAGGCCGACACGCTGTGCCGCCTACGGGCCAACCGGGGTACGTACTCGGCGAGCTTGTCTCGGGTCATATCACTGATATAATAAACTTTGTAGTGTGCGTGTTTGTATGTTTGTCCTTCACGCTCGAACGGCTAGACCGATTTCAATAAAATTTGATTTGGAGGTAGCCGACACCCTGTACTGAAGGCTACTTTTTTTCCTGAAAAATAGTATTGTTGTATGTGGGATGAGCAAGGAATTGAAATCGATCTCATGAACCGCAGGTTACACGGGTGGTTTATGTATGTATATAAATAAGTAGAAATCGCAATTATTTTATGTTATGATAATAATAGGCACTGACAGTTAATTTTGTTGTCCCTTACAGATCTGTTCATAGCAGTAGACCGCAAGTGCGGTCCGCTCTCCCTGTCGTCGACGTTCAGACACCTCGTCCAATATGTTCGTCACGCCATCTCACTGCTCAAGAGCGTTCCGAGGGAATGACAGTTACTTCGGCGAGGGAGAGTGAGGGAGGATACTGGACTACAATGTTTCAATCTATAGTTACAATACAAAAACTTCAAACATCACAGTGTTATGTTATGCAACAATGGGCGTCCCAGCACGAAAACGTACGCATATAGTTTCTTAGAATTTAATTCAAAGTGATATGAAAAGTGTCTTTTTGTCTAGAAGCAGTTCATCTCTGCCTTGGCAATCGAAATGCGAAATGATAGCACAAGTGAATGCTTCCATCACATCCCACATATCACTTGTTTTAGTGTTTTGCATGCTATCCCTTCACAATTATTTGGCACATCTATTCCCTTCGCCAGAGTGTTCTAAAGTTATCAGATTGTTTTTTGCCTATTCTTTTATTTCAAAAGGGTTAAAAATATTATACCTTATTTTAAACTTTCCTAAAGGTCAAACCAAGGGTAAAACGATTTGATATTAAGTACCAAATTTATATAAGATCGAGACAATCAACCCTAATCTATATTTTTTATTACTTACGAAAAGGCATTTGTGTAAAATTTATCGTCATGTAAATAGATAAAATAATTCTAGATTTGTCAAATAATAATGGGATACTAAATATCAACATCAAACATCTTCAATAACTTTTGAAACTATGTGTCGACTATTTGAATCTATGCAGTTAGGACGCTCAGAAATAATTGTACGTTATACCGCAGTAATGGACCGTCTGTACGGGGTATTATACGTATCTACAATTACCTTAAAGATTAATGCATTTGTCTGTTATATGTTGTATCATATTGTGATATCTGAACGTTGAACTGCAGGTGACTGTACATGCGTTGGCCAACGTTAGCAAATCATAGTGCAATAAATTGGCTACAACCCGAACAGCGTGGCCATATTACAACTTAAATGAAATAAGAAAAACTCGAAATCAGTTTAATGTATAGGTTATCTTGCAAATAAGACAAAAATGTTCATCAAATGGTAAACTGCAGTCTAATGGAAGTAATGAACTGATTTCCAACAATTCTCGCCTCGTATCCATGGGAACTTCCATTACAAGTGCGCGCCAACGTTGGTTCCAATGTTCGCCACTGGACGACATACTCCAATAATCGCCTAACTGAACATTGTCTTTGCATCTCGTTCTCTTCCCAAATCGATGACCAAAAAGAAAAAATGTAAAAGTGTAAAATTTGTAAGAAACTGTATATAGAGCTTCGTTGCGTGGCAACGGTAAGCAACGGGCCATTCACTACTGGCTCTGTATTATGTAAGTGATAGACTAATCATATCTTAAGTGTTTTGCGTTGTAGTTTTACTTCCCTATCAATGGAAATGTTTTACTGTCGGGAACACATATACGAATTGCTCGTTTTAGTCTAATGGGAGTTATGCGACAAAAAAGTAATATTTTGATCGCATGTGGGCCAATCGAGTATATTATTAATATCTCAACATGTAAGGGAACACTTGTAGGTCTTCGCAATAATTTACAGATTTATACGTCGCTATGTTCATTTAGCGCGAGTGGGGTGCGTGTAATTTGATTTATTATTTAGTTTAGTGAATAAATATAGTGCAACGTTCGTCGGGGATATTGCTGGAGCTAATGAAATGGAAACAAACAAACACCAATTTATTGAAATATATTGATATGTCAATGTCATGTTGAGGCTACTTGGGGAGCGGAGGCGGAGATCACTGTGCTACTCAACTAAGGACCAGACAATAGTGTGATACGTGTTAAACTTCCCTAATACGTTACGAGACATCTCAATTAAATTTAAAATAGCTGACTAATCATGACATTTTAAATAAGTTATGTCTAAAGAGGAAAATAATAAAAGCGAGTGACGTGACTATTTAAGACCCGTAATATTGCAAACACTTGATTCCAGTTACTCAAAATAAGAGTTTTTCTGTAGTTTTTGCGGTTACTAAATAGACAACGTATATGTCTAAATAGCAATCATACTGACATACGAACGTAACAGGTTTTAACCATTTCAGAAGAATATAAAAGTTTTGAAACTAGTAGGTGTCGATGTAAATTGACGTTTTATAAAATAACAAGGATACTGTATTACTTTATGTTTTGTACGCTGTCTGTGTCATAGTGATCAGATAATAGTGATTGTTTTTATTGGATAAGTTATATCATCAAAGAGGTCTTCTCTGGAATGATTTGGCGCATTGAAGCCATTAATTAACTTTTTCCTTCAGTTTGGTATTATGCCATAAGTATATATAATTATATTCAGTGTTCAAATAACATATTTATTAGTATCCTTGTACATGACCGCAAAGTTTAAAAAATAAATTGAGAGTGCAAATAACCCCGCAAGTCACAAGTTGCCTCAACATACACGTCAAAACTCTTAGCGAACAATATACTGTAGAAGAGATGTTCCTATAAGTCATAGATAACTGAACGGTTACAGAACAATTCATTGAGCAAACCCCTATTTATTGTCATGTCTTAACATTATTTCGTATACATATCAAATAATTTGGGGACAAATCATTCATCATTCGATTTAAAAGCTGGCGTTTAATTAATTTTGTACGCTTAAAATCAAAGCATCACGGTCAAGACATGTGATTGATCTCTTGTTTGCTAACATTATTTGGAGTGACAATAAATTCTCTGTTAGGGGAGCTAGTTTGGTATGGAACTTCCATATTGCCCTTGGAGCCGCCGAGCGGTCGCCGGCGGTTCCGACATCGATAAACAATCGTGCTGACAAACATGTACAGTGCAGAACAAATCAACCTAAATATTCCTTTCCTCATGAATAAAAAAAGTTCAAAATATTTTTTAATAAATACTTTTAAAGAGTACAACATAAACGGTTGACATGAACAGATTTGACTCTGCAACGGTCCGTAACACCAAGCTATATATCTATTTCTCTCGGTTGTTTATCAAATTTATGTTGTGATTGTATATACATAATATTATTATATTATACATTTTGTAATGAATATACATGTTAGTGGCAGATAGGTTTTTGTATGAACGTTTATAGTAAGTGTGTTGAGGCGGTGGCGTAGGGGCCGGGGTCCTCAAGCGATCGGGACGTGTCGCCGACGAGTGACAAGAGATGCCTTGTACATAGTATATTATAAGAAATGTGTAGTTTTCACTCTATATTTTAATTTATATTATGTAACTATATCTATAGATAAGCGGAGAAGGAGAAATTAACATAATAAAGTTTGTATAATGGTGCGTGTATCGGATGCGTCGGGGCCTGGCGCGACGGCGGGTCTTTCGAGCCCGCTGCGCACACGACTCGGTTATTTTATCGAGGATATGTAAATGTTTGTAGGTGAGCTTGCAGCGTTCACTTGTTAGTATATAGTTTAGGTGTTAAACAGTCGGTTCTAGGAGCAGGACAGGACCGCTAGTTACCGCCGCAGGAGCGGGTCGGTGCTCTGTGTAGCAATAAATATAACTTAGCATCACCGACCCGTCACCGCGCCTCAGGTACGTCATGCGATCGCCCAGCTTGCATCTCCTATTAAATACATCACATAAGAAGAGATTGTCACATAGAGATAGTAAATTAGGATAAGGAATTAAAATATACACAGATGTGTCAGATTTATTCGTAGCGTCGGGTACAATTACGGGAGTAAACTGTGTGTTAATAACTGATTGAACCGCCTTTATACTTAAATTTTACAAGGCCTATTGGCACGCGTTCGATGCGAGCAGCGTATGACGTGAGGGACGCGCGGGCCGAGCGCCGCGGTGAACATCCGGACGTATCGACTTATCGTACATTACAGTTCGTTTTACCTTAATTCAAATAATTGCAGCAACGTTTGTTTATCTAATGCGACGATCGGTACTTACAATCCGCACAAATGTTTTATTATATGTTTTAGTTGGTTACTTTATTTATTGTGGCATCGTATTACTTTTAATGTTTATAGCACATGAAGCGAAGTTTACTTAAATTTTAGAGGTTATTGCGAGGCATAAGATCTGGCTGCGGTGTCTTGCAAACGTTCGGCTTAAGTTATATCTTATTTTGATCCGTTTTGAACAATTACTCTTTTTTTTTATTTTTTTACGAAGCATAAATTGCATCTCATTTAGAAACTCGCGTGTATGTACTTGGTTTTTGTTATCGTTTTAGTTCAATATATTTTTTGTTTTGTTGCTTATTTTGTGATTTAAGCTATTAGTTTGACCTTTGTAGAAATTATCATGAAATTACTGTGATCGAACTATACACAAATATGCAATAAAATATTTAAGGTATTTAATTCCAATTTAAATATGGCTCGGGGTCGTAATTCATGAGCTACTGAAAATTAAGAAGCCTTTTTAAAAGCGATCCAAGCATTTTGCAAAGTGCAGTTATTCTCTAGATATCGTGTCGATTACTTAATTGTTGAACTCTCCTTGCACATGTAATATTACAATATAAAACCTTATATTTTGAGGTGATTTCAAAATCTCAATGAAGTAAACCCTAAAATTGAAACCAAATTGACAATTATATCCTAAGTTGATAAACAAGAGCGCTGGTTAGAAAGCATTAGGCAATTGTTTTAGGAAATTGTAAAATATTGTTTTCTTTTTTAATAGCATCTTGTGTTGATAGCATGTATAATTTGTTTTTTTTTTATTCGCGTTAAGAATTATGTATAAATTTGTTTTCCTTTAATTTTATTATTTGTGTAACTATACCTTATGTTATTGATAATAGAATACATTAATTTTTATGTATGGATTTATGTTTGTTTTTTTTTTGTTTTACCTTTTCCTTTTGTTCTATTTTCTGTTTGATACCGGCTAGTCAATTTAAGAGAAAACGTTATTAGACAAATTGAGTGGATGGTAAATTGAATGAAATTTTAATTAAGTGTTAGTGTAATAGAAAATGCCTTCGTCAATTGCCGAAAACATCAATCGCATCTGCTGGTTCCATACAAGTTAAAGTCTCAATAATATAGTTCTGACCAGCACAGCTGTGATTGACTGTAATGCCTTATAG